TCTCTGGCTAAGGTCCACGGTCCATGGCGCCATTGTTGTCTTGCCTAAGCGCGGTGTGCCTTATCCATTTCCAAAACCCTACAAGGAAGCAGTTGTTGTGAAAGGTGAGCTCAAATTTCAATTCGTTGATGTACCCTCCTGTCAGTGGTTAGGACCAAAATTTTGTGGTCTGGTTAATTATCAAACTTGCACACGTTGGAGTTAATCTAACTCGATGGTTTACTGCCACCCGAGTGGTGGAAATCCGACACTGAAGCTGTGATCAATGAAGCCCTCGAGTCTGGATTGGCTCCAAATGTCTCAGAGACTCAGACGCTTACACAATAAATGGATATCGAGGACCCGTCTCCAGTTGTCCTTCACAGGGTATTTCCCTTCCCTTCCTCTTTTTATCTGATTGCAAAACTTCGTTTAAAACTAAGATCTTTGATATAGAATCTGTTACAATCATATCCAGCAGGTATGACATTGCCAGTTGAAAATGGCAAGACCTATCTGCTACGCCTCATCAATGCTGCACTCAATGAAGAGCTTTTCTTCAAGATTGCTGGGCACAAACTCACTTGTGGAAGTTGACGCCACATATATTAAACCGTTTAAAACAGATACAGTTATAATTGCCCCAGGACAATCCACCAATGTCCTTGTCTTTGCTGATCAAAATTCTGGCAAGTACTTGGTTGTGGCCTCCCCTTTTTTGGACGCCCCAGTTGCAGTCGATAACCTGACTGCAACAGCAAACTTGCACTACTCAGGCACACTTGCCAATACCCCCACAACTCTCACTAGCCCACCACCAAAAAATGTCACACCAGTTGCCAACTACTTGACAGACTCTCTTCGTGCCCTCAATTCCAAACAATTCCCTGCCTTAGTCCCCCAAACTATTGATCACAATCTTTACTTCACTGTTGGACTTAGGATTAATCCCTGTCCTACTTGCAAAGCCGGAAATGGCCGCCGAGTGGTAGCTTCTATTAACAATGTGACATTCATTATGCCTACTACAGCCCTACTTCAAGCACATTTCTTCAACATCAGTGGGGTGTTCACCACTGATTTTCCTGGTAACCCACCGCACGCATTTAATTACTCCGGAACTCCACCAACCAATTTGCAAAAAACGAATGGGACAAAGGTTTTCAGGCTGGCTTATAACACTACGGTACAACTTGTTTTGCAAGATACTGTTATCATAGTCCCTGAGAACCACCCGATCCACTTACATGGATTCAATTTCGTCGCCGTTGGTAGTGGACTCGGAAACTACAATCCAAGGACGAATCCTCATAAATTCAATCTTGTCGATCCTGTTGAGAGGAACACAATTGGGGTACCATCTGGTGGATGGATAGCAATCAGATTCCGTACAGATAACCCAGGTACATTAACAATGTTCTGATACATTCATTATTTTTTTTCCCATGTTTTTGAACCATGAACTTCTCTCTGATCTCGATTTCTTTTGAGTTTTAAGGAGTTTGGCTCTTGCACTGCCACTTGGAAGCGCATACGACATGGGGGCTAAAGATGGCATTCTTGGTGGACAATGGAAAAGGTCCTAATCAGTCACTTCTTCCTCCTCCAGTGATCTTCCAAAATGTTAAACGTGGCAACTATCGACGCCAGCACCGAGATTTCCAGATCGAAAGAGATGTGGAAAGAGGAAAGAGTTTCACATGCTATGGAAACGGAGCTATTTAATAAGCAAAGTGAGAGTTGAGATTGAATAACATTTGTATAGGCATTGTTCTTTTTTTTTTTTGGAATGAATCACAATTTTATTCAAATTCAAACGTCTAAAAAGAAACAAAAACACAGTAGCGAGTTTCTAGAAAGATTGTTTTCAAGGGTTTTCACTAGTTTCGTCGTTCATATCAATTTGATTGCCCTGTTTTTTTTCCTTTGACAATATTGTTGAGAGTTTAAAATTTTATGATGAAGAAGGCCATAGGGTTCGAGCAAAATATAGTCAACATGAATCTACTGTCACCAGGCTGACTCACCCCAAAAACTGGTAAGGTTTTTTCAAAATTATGAATATAATCATTAACTGATCTGAAAATTCGGGATTTTTCAAAGTTCAGGATTTTGATGAATTACCCTTTTCTTTTCTTAATTGTTTACTATCGAGGAAGTTCTTAAAAAATGAGGCCCTCCAATTGTAACAGACACAATCAAATATTGACATGTAAAGAAAAATCATATGAATAGACAAATGACAATGTAGCATACATATATAATGATTTTCTCCTGCTGCCTGTTTGGTCGCTTTAATTCTCTTTCCTGGTTTGCTTGAAAAATTTTTCATCAATTTTATCCTGCAAGTATCTTCCACACCATGCCTCAACCCTTCTCCATTTCCATGGTCTTTAAAGATAAAACCAAACAAATATTTTCATGAACGTTTGTTGATTAAAATATTTGATTTGAATTGGGCTACTGCGAGCTTCAAAGGAAGATTATTAGTAGATCAATGCTTTGGGGTGTGTATGAAATGGATATGACAATTCGTGTTATCGTATTGTATAAAATATTATATTCGTATAATATTTTATATAAAAATTACGTGTCATAATTTATATCAACATGAAAATATAAAATATAATTTATTGATTTTATTAAACATATTTGTAATTTTTATAAAATTTTAAATTATATTATTTTTATATTATTTATTTATATCATATCACTGTATCATATTTTAAATTATAAAATTTAATTTGATCATGTCCTCGCATCAGCTCAATTATTCATCCTAAAGACTTTTAGCTATCGATTTCTAATTGAAAAAAAAAAATGACTATATCTCTGCTTTTATGAATTTCATCAAGTTTTTCTCAATGGAAGGGAATAAAAACAAAACCCATCAACAAACTTAACAACATTACTTTCCTTTTTAACAAACTTTATACCCATCTTTTTAATTATATTTATTTGGTTATAAAAAAAATATTTTTGCTTGCTTTTTCAAAATTCTTTTTCCTAACTATTCTATTGCACAGATTTTGGATTTTCTATTTTTCTTTCATTAAGTAATGACAATCTTAGAATACCTAAGTCTTAATAATAGCCTTTCAACTACAAGGGAGAATCTTCTTTAATTATTTCCTTTTTTTTTTTTCAATTAGTTGATGCTATTAACAATTGCTGTCATTAATTTGCAGGTAATTTGGAGATAAACATCCCTAATTGTTACTTTAACAAAGCCAAGCCAATGAGCATTTGATCTGTAGGGCATCCCCATTCACTAGGGAACATTCTCCATGCAGATTCTTGGTCCGTTTTTTTTTCTTTTATTTTCTTTTCACCGACTTTTGAAAGGGCACTTTCTTTTTGTTAAAGATGCATTTAGATGAGAGATTTCAAGTAAAAAAATTTTAAAATAAAATTATCTTTGTTTATCAAAATAAAAATTAAATTTTTTAAAATTTGTAAAAAAGATTTTAGAAAGTTCAAATTCCTTTTGCAAATTCTACTTAAGAGATAAATTTTGTGAATTTTTTTTGGTTTTTCAATAAGATGTCAATACTTATTATATTTCCCTTTCCTGCATGCCTTTTATTTCTTCAACTCTAACTACCAAAATTTATTTCAATTTTTTTTAAAAAAAAATTCAAGATTAAAAAACATGGCTATAGTTTAGGTTATATCTTAATTATGGATTAATTTGATAAATTTATATTTGCACTTATGGGAACATATAAAATCTCATTGCTGATGTCAATTAGTACATTAGCTCAATGGCATGCATATTAAATAAATTTTTAAAAATTATGAATTTGAAAATATTTAAATACATATTAAATAAAAAATTAAATGATAGATTAAAAATTACATTGTACTACAATTTAATTTTTCAAAGGAGTCTTACCCTAATCTAAAAGCATTAAATATGAGTTGACAAAATCAAATTAAAGAATAATATATATCATAAATTTGCAACTGTACTGATCAAACCTGAGTCAAACCAATGATTTATGTGGCTCCTTCTCATAATGTACCTTTCTTTACCAATTAATTAATACATTGTTACTTAACTACAACTCCAAGATATATAATCTATCTATCTAGTCTCAACCATTTCTTTTCATTTTTTTTTTTTATAAACAATATAGTCTCAACTTGTCTGGTGTAATAATATATGATCAATTTAATATATTAACAAGATTTTTTTTTTTTTGTAAAAGGTAAAGAGAACGTGTCATTAATATGCAAAAGGATGGAAAGGCCAATATAGTCTATAAACAAATAAAAATCTTTGACAATTCCTTGCATGTAATTTTCAACTTATGGGAAATTTCTTATTTGTTTTCTCTTTTTCTATTTTTTTTTTGGAATGCAAAACTTTTTGTCTATGGCACCAATAATGATGGAAAGCTACATCAACAAAAAAGTTAATACTACTATTTGTTTTTGGTGTGATAATGATCCATCAATGTTCACATTCCAATCAATTGCTCCTTCGTATGGTAGCATTTAGCAATTCAATTATAATTTTGCTATAAATTTGCAAGTTATTAATCTTCGTTATACATAATAATGGAAGTCTTGATTTTATAAAAGATCATATTAAAATCTTTTGATTTTATATGATCAAAGGTATTTTAATTTATCGAGTGATTTTAAAAATTATATTTTTTACATCATTTTATGTATTTAAAATTTTATTTTTAAAATATTTTTTTAAAAAATAAATCAATTAATAAAAAATAAAAAATTTGTCTTAACTATTGAACTAACCCTCAATAATCATATCTTTATGTTTGTAGGCCTGTAAAATTCAAATGTTTGCATAGAAAAATGGATGAGCAAATCAAAGTTTAGAAACAAAAACTATATTAAAAACCACCATCAAATTTCGATGACAAGAGACAAACATCTCACGTGCTACAGCTAAATGTCAACACTCAGCACCATTGCCAAGGTTGGTCTCTTATTCAGATAAAATGACTAGAAAAACCCAACACCTACTTTGATTCACCAACCAACCCAATTGCTTTGCAGATTGTCCCTTTCAGTTTCTCTCTTCTTATTGGCTATCACTTTCCACATAAGATAAGAAAAACAACTATACTTTGGCCGCAGCAGCGCCCACAATCTCCATTTTCACCAATCACAACTCAGCAGCTTTGACCTCTCTCTCTCTCTCTCTCTCTCTCTCTCTCTCTGTCTCTCTCTCCCTCTCTCCCTCTCTCCCTCCTCATTCTCTGTTTTATAGATATAAGCAGTACAAAGTAAACTCCAAGGAGTTGGCATATTTCTATTCATTTCTTTCACGCATTCTCTGTTTGGTCTCTTTGCTTTTGCTTTACCCTGGAACGGAAATGTAAAAGCTAAAGATTTCCCACTTTTAACACTCCAATTCTTTAGAAGCTCTCTGTTTTATTTTGTTTTTGTTCTCCGTTCATGGATTTAAAGTGTTTTTCCAGCTTTAATTTGTTAATCTATGATTTGGCTTTTTGAATTTTGATCTGTATATAGATTTCCTTGTTTAAATTTGTTGTTGTATGTGATTTTGGATCTGCTATGGATGTCTAGGGCTATGGATCTGTTTTTTTTTTTAATTATTTTTCCTACTATTTCTGGAATTTTACTTGGGTTTTAGAAAGTTACACTTTTTGAGATTCTTCAATCTAATCTTATGTGAATAAGGGTACTCAGATTCGATTTAAATGGTCTCATGATTTGATACTTCTTTGTTCATTTAAAACAGCCACTTCTCTGCATTTTTCTATCTTGGTTTTTCTCTCTCTTTGAACATTTCATTCAAAGAGGGAGAAAAGAAAAGTCTTTTGTGTACGGAATCATCTTTGGCAGTTACACAACTCGAAAAAAAAAAAGTTATGATGAATAGGGGACTTGAAATTCTTTCTCCATCCTCTTATTTACAGACTTCCAATTGGTTGTTTCAAGAGAGCAAAGGTACAAAATGGACTCCTGAAGAGAACAAGTGTTTCGAAAATGCTCTGGCTTTATATGATAAAGACACCCCTGACCGATGGTTTAAGGTGGCAGCTATGATTCCTGGAAAAACAGTTGCAGATGTGATCAAACAGTACAGAGAATTGGAAGAGGATGTGAGTGATATAGAGGCAGGGCTGATACCAATTCCTGGGTATAGCAGTGATTCTTTTACATTGGAGTGGTTTAATGATAGTCAGGGCTTTGATGGATTTAGACACTATTACACTCCAGGTGGAAAAAGAGGGACAGGGACTCGACCTTCTGATCATGAAAGGAAGAAAGGGGTGCCATGGACTGAAGAAGAACACAGGTAACTTACTCTCCTTTGTTGATTATTTATATTTTTGATAATTTTGGATTTCATTTAATTATGATTGAATAAATCAATCTTTAGGATATCGAGTTATCATTGGTTTAACATGTAAAATTTCTGGAGTTAAAACTGTAATCGGAGATTCGGAGTATGCTTTTCTGTTTAAGATCGATAATCTGGGTATTCAAGATAAACAATATGAAGAAAATGGAAAGAATGGGCTTTCCTGATTGATCCTTACATTTGTTGTGAATGTTGACAATGTGGTTGGTGGACACTATAACATGTTTTGTTTATGGATGTCTCTTTTCTTGCCTGTACAAATTCTGTACTTTCAATGGTTTTAGCAGCTCATGAAGTTTATTTGATGATTAATGACAGGCAATTTCTAATGGGTCTTAAAAAGTATGGTAAAGGGGATTGGAGAAATATTTCACGCAATTTCGTGACGACTAGAACACCAACTCAGGTGGCAAGTCATGCTCAAAAATACTTCATCAGGCAGCTGACCGGAGGGAAGGATAAGAGGAGGTCCAGTATCCATGATATCACAACAGTTAACATCCCTGATACGCCCTCGTCTTCACCAGATCACGGCAAGCCTTTGTCTCCAAATAATTCTCCTGCAGTCATACATTCACAGGAGCCACCAAAAGTAGCCGGGCTAACAACTAAAGAGCTATTTGATTTTGAATTGAAGCAACAAAATGAAGGAGCAGCTATGGTTTTCAACCAGGCGAGTAGTGGTAATGCCTTCCTGTCCCCTTTCTGTGGGATTTCTTCATATGGAACCAAGCTGGAGGAACAAAATTTGCTGAGAGGAACTCTTCCCAGATCTCAATTTGGATCTTACAACACTCTTTTCCAGATGCAGTCAATTCAACGTCAGTAAATTCATTGGTAAAGTGGGAAGAGTTCTCTGAAGGTATTATTATTAATTAATGAGATGAAGATCGAGCCTACCAGTGATGTCAGCTAGCTTTGTCCGTGCCGCATGTGTATATGTTGAAGATGCAAATTAGTCCATAGTTATCACTCTTAAGAGAGATTAGTTAGGTGGTTTGTGATTTATCGTTCAAATTCTGGACCATTGAACCAAAAAGGAAGCTTATTACATGAAGCTTGGGGCTTTAAACTTTTTATTATGTGTCTGCATTATCAGTCTGTTGTCAAAAGTTATTCTTAGATTGATTGTGTGCGTTCTATAGATACTGCCATGTGGGTCAGAGTCCTCTGCAAAATGACAGACTGTACTGTAAAGGCTTAAAACTTGATAATGGACTCCAATAATTCAGATTTCCTTGCTTCAACTGTGATGTTCCGCACCTTAAATTCATTCACATCATGGCAAGGGAAGAATCAAGAGAACTTTGGTCTTTTAGCCAAAACCCTTTATCTGCTTGCTTATGAATTGCAGTGTAGCATTTCTGAAGGCTGTAATATCCAAATTCAGACCTTAGCAAAGATGAAAAACTAACTTCCCATGTTTTGTTATTATTATTATTATTATTATATTTTTTTGGGTCGGGGGAGGGCTGGAGCTGGAGGTACTAAGGGAATATCCAAAAACCTTCTTTGCTTCACAGGCGAAATTATTTTGTGGTTTACATGGATGCAAATAACCAAAGTAGAAGCTGTTGTCAACTGTTGCTTAGTGCGAGTCATTTTCGCATGCTTTTTAAGGACCCTGCTTGATGCTGATGTCTTTTTTGCAAATTCGGGTTTAATGGCAAGTTCCTTCTTGCCCCCCCCCCCAAAAAAAAAGGTAAAGTAAATGGTTGTTTAATTAGTTGACTGTTCATGATAATAGATTCTTGACTGAAGCCTAGACTAAGAGCCACTTATTTAAGCATCTCATTCTTCACTGCACCTTTCTTTTTCGTCTTTGTTCCCTTGACGAGGATGGGACTGGTTTTTTTTTTCTTTGCTCTCAGGTTCCATACTCGAGTACCATAGGATTGTAATCAAATAGATGTATTAGTCATGAGTAGTAATCAAATTAAATCATCCACGTTTTCTTCTGCAATTTGTGCCTTACTCTGATCAGGATCATTCCATCTGACTGACGATTTGGCAGACTCGTGATTCTTTAAACCCCTTTTTATGGTCATTGAAGGAATCTTAGTTTAATGATTCGCCAGTATGCCTAGGCCTTGCTGATGAAAGAATGTGTTTGAAAGTCTTTATCTGTTGTCTACCTAAATTCTGTGCTTTCTTTATGACCCCTGGAAATGGGGCATCTTTCTTCTTCTTCTAATATGGTGGGATTGGAATTTTAATTGATCAGGAAGAGCATGTGTGACCACCTTCATACTTGTTTCTCTCCATTTTCCTTTTATTCAGGATGGACCTCATAGATTCCAGGAAAAAAAGGCTTTGCATTTTCCTAAAAGCACTTAAAATTTGTAAGAATCTTCTCCCTGGTTAGTGCAGTGAGGAATCCTGATGTGACCTGTAACCAATATTATAAGGTTACTATTGCGAGAAAATTATCACTAGGAGACTGGAATTCTAAGAAAAAAAGATCCGAAGCCCCTTTCAATTTTGCTTTTTCTTGGTGAAAATGACAAACAAAGAACTTGTGCTAATGCTCAAAGTGGGCTATTCAAGTGTGGTAGAAAAATGAACAGCAAAGCAGGAGTTCCATGGATCTGAAATCTGCTTTCCAGCAAATATAATTGTTTAGTTACTATTCAGGTAAAAAAAAATTGATCAAATTAAAGCAATCTCATAAAGGGGAAAGGGAAATTTAAGCTTTCTTTTATACGATTACTAATAATTATCCTAAGCCGCTGTTCCATGATCTGGCTCCATTCTTTTGTTGTTTCTTTGCTGCTTGTTTCTGTCACTAAATTGTTGTTGTTGTTGCTCAAGCAAACCTTCATGAAAAGCCCTGTGCCCACCATATTGCTTGCACAATGCACATATAATTTTCAGGTCCCACCCACTAGACAAACTAAACATGGAGCAATATATAAAGTACAATAAACCTTTTTCTCTGGTTAATGACAAAACTGTCCACTTTCTTTTTCAAAAGGATCACTTTTCTGCAAGTTGCATAGGAAAAGCACTTTGGCCTCTTTATTCTAATTTTCAATCAAACCCCCCCAGCCCCTTTAAGCCCATAGGTCGTTTTGAAACCTCACAGATCCCAGTCTCACACCCTCATTTCTTTTCTTCTCAGTTCCTTTTACCCCTCAAAATTGAAAATTCTGATTCTTCTCTCCTGAATGCTTTTAATTGACCCCCGCCAAGTATTATTGGAATCCAGAAGTAGGTTTGTGAGAACAAAATGACAAAACCCTGCTAAGAATCTCCCCCCTCCCTTTGGTGCATCATTGTAGGACCAAAGGTACCATAGAATAATCCCTTTGTGGCTGCCTTTGTTACAAATGATAGACGAGAAATAAAAGAAGACAGAAAGTGGGACTTTTTTTTTTTTTTTTGTGAACAAGTAATAAACTAATAAAAAAATTATTACTGGCCAATAACAAAAAAATTGCTTGTTGCACGTTTTTGTGTCCAAAAAGGTGATACAGGTTCTACCGAGGCACGCTTATATGCAGGAATTACATATTAGATGCTAGGAACACTGGCATGTTGCATCAGCTATTACAATTTGCATTCATTTAATTTTGCTGAATTATATTTCCAATTATAAGTGGTTATTGAGAAAATTTCAATTTCATAACAGTGCCAATGAGCTGTGATCTGCTTGATTTTATTTGATGATGTGAGTGTGCAATTTCTGTTCCATGTCATGTCTTTCTTTTATTTACAAATTGGAAAAACTTCTGTTATACTTAGTGGCCCTGTCTGCTACCTTTTGAAGCTCAAATCTCATTGATTTCACCATCTTGTCCTTTGCCAATCAGCATCTGTCTTTCCCAATACATATACGCGTGGCTTCACAGTATGGTTAGTTTTTCTTTTATTTATTTTTATTTTTTATGTAGCTCATGAAATCAGTAGATGCCAGAAACAAACATTAAGCATTGGCTGAAACACAACAACATCAATGACAGCAACATTGAGGGTTCCTTCTTCGACAATGGTTTGCGAATTCAAAACAAAATTAACATGTATTATCTCACAACTGAACTATTAAATTCAACAGAGAGTAAGAAAAGAAGTTGCATCTTACATACAATAGCAATGGACTAATTATTGCAACCATGCCTGTCAGTGTCACCTTCAAATGTCTGTTCTAAACCTCATTATTGCAACCATGATATACTCCAAGCTTGCCCTAAAAACCCTTTCACGCATAGGACAAGCAGTTGAATTTTCAGCTCAGGACATCAATGGACTCATAATTCACTGTCAGGTTTGAGTGGTGAAAGTTGTGAAGACAACATTTATTTGTCACTTCTTGTTTTTTTCAACCATCAATCAGAGAAAATTAGTGGAAGTAGACCTTTTTTTTGGCTGAAAAGCTAGTGGGAGTAGACTGATGAAGTGCATATCATGGCCTTCTCCAAGTTGTTGTCCTGTTACAAAAGACTTGTAGCTTTGTTGTAGACATATAATATGAACTGGTTTGATATAATTCCACAAGGACCTGAAATCATGATGTGACTTGTTTCAATGCAAATATTGCTTGAATGTGAAAAAAATAAACGTCCTGTTTGTTTGTATGCAAATCTAAAAAGATATAAATTTGAGATCGGCATGATCGAATTTTATATGCAGTGGAATCTTGGTTGCTAATTGGTTCTGAACTCGGGAAAAAACTTCAGAAAACGAGAAAGCTTGTCAGAAGGATATATGATTCTCTTGTCTCGAAGCCTAGACAGATTCACGCTCGGGTGTTTTTCAGGCATGCTTAATCTAAAGTGTTAGACTAGAACTCAAGATGGCAAGAAGTAGAAGCCAACTCTGGTTAGGTTGTGCGTCAACTTCGGGAAGGAAAAGGGTCCTCTTATTCTGAGCGTGGGCTGGGCTGCCTGTTGGGTAGACAAATTACTTCAAGTTTCTTAAAGTATAAAGAGTTTTTGTGGGTTACTTGAAGGACCAATTGTCTATACAAACTAAGGCCCAAACTTGAAATGTTAGTGGCTAATTAATCCAAGTGTTTATAGGGTACTGAAATGATGAAACCCAGCCTAAGCAGCTTCAAATGTCCTATTTGTTTGACTGTCCATAAGTACCGATTAACCCCAAGTCTCAAGGCCCAACCAACACAACAGTTTCACTTTCAAGGTTGGATCCAGTTACCACTTTGTTGGGCCAAAGGGTCCAGTTTACCATTTATACCTATTTCTTAAGTTTCGACTATGAAGCTTTTATGGGATCTGAAATTTGATACACATGATCATATCACAATTTAGCAGATGGGTAGAAGATATTTTGGAAACTATGAAATAGAAAGAATTGTCTTATAAAAATTACAATCAATCTTGGCTGATGGCAGTTTATAGTAGCTGAGTAATGCTACAAGTAGCATTCAATCATTTCAAGTCCATAATTTACAACAAATAAACATATTGCAAAACAATCATACGTACACCATAGCAGGGCCTCTTTGAAGCCACAAACAAGTTTGACAATCCTTATCAACATGCTATTTCCTTTAATTCCACCTGGCAAACCAATGTAATATATCCAAATCACCTAATTGTTAACTTCTGGCGATGGGAAAAGGCGTGTTGCCAGCCATTGCAGAGGTCTCAGTAGCTGCGATCTATTCTTCCGCCAAAACCAAATGGCAGCATTGTAGTCTTCATTGCGTATCTTCTTAGTGGCTGCTTTCCAATCATACTGCTGCATTTCTTCACGTGCAGCTTTGCCAATGGTTTCTCTCAGTTCCTTATTTTGTAACAGGGGCTCCAGTTTGCTCAAGCAGTCGCCAACATCTCCAGGAGCAAAGAGAAAGCCAGTTTTGCCCTCCTGGTCTGCAGGAATTATATCTGGGATTCCCCCAGCACGAGCACCCACCACAGGGATTCCTGAAGACATGGCCTCCAAAACAACTTGTCCAAGTGTCTCAGATTCCGAAGGCATCACAAACACATCCCCACTTGCATATGCCTGAGAGAGCTCTTCACCTTGTAACATCCCAGTAAAAACTGCTGGCATGCCCGAAAACATTTTCTCTAGCTCTTCCCTGCAAAGAAGAAACCATATATTCTTTAAGAGAGGAGCATAAAATTTTGCCTAATCTTAGATCTCCTGACACAACTTGTCATTTGCTACACAAGACTATTGAAGAGGAAACAATTCAGGTTAGCATAAATGAAATCACAGAAACTGGGGAGATCAGAGTAAAACATTCGCCCATCCATTTAGAGCATTCTCAGTGAGAGTGAGAGTATGATATCTGAGCCATCTAATACAAAATATAGATATTCTTCTAGAGCAGTGTAAAGTTCATGAGCATCAAGTGGATTACCTATATGGTCCATCCCCAATAAAAGCAATTCTTGCTTCCGGGAGTCTGTCCATAACGCTGTAAAATCATGTATTCCCAATGTCAAAATTTTACAAAATTCATTAATTTAAGAGAGTAAGGCTCGGTTTGGTAAAAGGAAAGAAAGAGGTCAGGAAAGAAAAATAAAAATAATCTAATGGTTGGGCTACAATACATTACAACATATGCTGTAGCTTAAACATTTTCCTTCCTTTCCTCACTGTTTTCTTCTTACCAAACAGAGCCTAAATAATTGCATTGAAAAATTGACATAAACCCATTAGTTTTTCCTCTTCAGCTATGACATGGTATCATGTTTTAACAAATCGTAAAGGAAGATATTAGCATTTAGCAACACTTTTTCATGCAATTGATAAATGGTACCTTTTGAGGAAATCCAAACTCTTCTCAACTCCAAGACGCCCAACATGAATTACCAATGGTCTATCTGGTTCACCATTGCTGTATAAAACAAAAACATACAGTGCTAAGAGAAACATAAATATATTGTAATTGATGACAGAGATAAGTGCAGCACCTTAATCTTAACCGCATTTCATGAAAGCGATATCGAGGGTGGAAGCTTTCAGAATCCACACCCTTATTCCAAAGGCGAATCTTGTTAGCTGAAAGCATTGATAAATGAAAAGCATTTTAATTTAGGGTTAAGCTATCTAGATCTCATCAACAGGCCAGCATTTGTAGAAGGGAAAGAAAGAGAACAAATAAAGCAGAAGATGCATTTATCACACTGGGGGTAAGAAATGGAGAGAGGAAATAGATTAATGCATAAACACATGGCTTAGCTTTGTCTTATAACAACCAAGTTCAATTGTATGAGGCTATTTTGATAATGTAAAGTATGTGCATGTTTACCTGCAGTTACCCTAGCTGCTTGAAGATCCCTCCCAATTGCAGCGGATGGAACCAGTGTAAGATCCGCTGCTCTATGAAGAAATTCTGATAAGAAAGAGCAAAAAAGTTGTTAATTGCTCTGTCATGAATATTGGCTTAAAAGGAGGGAAAAAAAAAGGGTCTTGCGTACTTAGAATTAACCACATGGGTTCCACTAGCCAACTAAATGTGTATCTTGGGATATACCTGTAGAATGAAACAAAAGTTAGATTAGAGGTCCATAGAACAGTTCATATAGTTTTGAACCTGGAATGATAATCCTTCCAAACAGCTGTAAATGATTTTCCAGGTTTCATTGTTGAAGGAGTAACATGAAGGATTTATCAGGTGAATCAATGAAGAATCAAACTCACACTGGAACATGGGTGTGGTAAGACATCACTATGGGTACACATAGTAGTTTTGCAATAGTGAGAGCACCAAAAACCTGCAATGAAGTCTGCAACAATCAGGAATGTATCTACTACCACTCCTCATTAACTTGTCAATCACAAAGAGAAATCATAATGATCCGAGAACTTAAATAGCAGTAATTAAAAGCATACCATGATTCCAGGTGAAGAGGCATGTATTATATCAGGCTTAAACCGTGCAACTTCTAAAACTATTCTTGGACTGAGAGCCAAGGAAAGGGGCAATTTCTGATACCAAGGAAAAAGGAAGCTGCAATGAGGAGGAAGGAAAAATATAAAAACCAGTATAGGAAAGAAATATCAAAGAATTAGCTAATGAAATAGTAAAAACATAAAGTTATGCCAAACAGTTCAACGAGCCAGTTGATAACTTCAAAACAAAGTAAAATAGGACCAAAACAAGATTGAAATTAAGGAAAAGTAAACTAAGATTACTTGACGGTGATAGAGAATTTATACTTGATATACTGTAAGAATGTTGAGTGTAACATATATCTTAACAAAAGAAAAGTGCTTAACACCTTTCATGAACCTAGCTATCTCCATCCTTGGGATTAAGAAATAGACTCTAAATCAATTTTAAGCAAATGAACACGTAACTGAGATCTAACTAATACTCATCTCTACCATTTCTTTTACTTTATGGTATTGATAACTTTCTGGTGTTTATAAGCCTAAGATGCTTTGTGAATGCTAGCTTTTGTTGGTTGTAAAAATGAGTCACCTCTGGCTTGTCAACATCTTAGAATGTAATAAAAGAATTAAGCAGCTAGTACTTTGTTGTTTCTGAATAAACTTCTTTTTCCAGTTCTAGATAATTTTGCCTTGGAAAGCATGTTGAACAATAAGTTAACATCAAGAAAAATTGAAAATTAGAAAAGCACATGTGAGAACAAAAATGGAAATGATGTGGAAGCATGGTAAAAACTATAACTTGAATTTAGTTGATTACACCAACCTTCTTGATCCAATCAACTTTGCTCCATAGAACTCCTGCGGGACTCCTTCATGTGTTGTTATAACCATTACCTATAAGGACCAATACCCTTACTGTTAGTTCATCATTTCAAAACGTTTCTACAAAATGATAGTGTACTTGTTCACTGTTGGTCAAAACTGCCAGCTTGTCTGGCTAGGAACTGTTAACTGAGAATGAGCTTAAGCTAAATCAGTATTTGTACAACCCGCGTAGTAGTTTGACCATTATTCCTCCAACATTACTACTGTCAATTAAAAATCACTTGAATCAATCAAAAGCTAGTGAAATCAACTCTTAATAATTTTAGCAATCTGACCCCACCCAAAAGCTAAAGCTTCTTAAATTGCAATTGGAGTATAGGACTTAGATTAAGCTTCCATGGCATATCTGTTTATAATGAACAGATAAAAATTAGTAAATAGTAAGCGTAATTGCAGTTATATAATGAGCATACCTCATCACCCATTTCTCTTAAATATCTTATAAAATTCTGGAACCTGTTTTTATACCCCGATACATATCTGCAAAATGGAAAGACGTGCATTCAGTGAGTGCTAAGTTTTTACTTTTAACGTAGTAGGTAACATACAGACCAAGATCATGTTTCACATAATTTGACAGATGACATGTCACAAAGGCAATTGCCAAAAACATAACAACCATGAAATTGACCTCTCAGTTACTAACAACATCAATTAACGACCAAAGAATAATAACAATAAAAGCTGTTACTGAAGAAACTTCAAATTTAACAGCACCAAGAACATGAAAATTAAACATAAGAAGAAAAGGTTATCATTAAACATAGTTATACCAAGCAAATAAGCAAGGGGGAGAGACTCACGAGAAAGGAGAAGGCTCAACAAAAAGAGCAATACGACGAGGCCTGGAATTGTTCTCAGAATGAATCAAAGGAGGACTTTCCTCTTCCCCATATTCTCCTCTCACCTCTGTAACATTCATTTCTGCTAACTCTAACAACAGCTATCCTTCTATTTCTCTCACTCTTCAATCTTACAGACTCAGAAAAATGACTCCTTCTGCAGATCACGCTAATGGGTATTGCTGAAAAAGAAGAAAAAGGCAGAACTTTAACAGAATTAAGAGGGTAAAATGTAAAAGAAGAACAGCTTGAACGGTAGGCAAAGAATGAAAGAGGAGAGAGAGAATAAGGGGACACGATGGCCTACGCCCTGCAGTATAAATTATAGCGGGAAGGTGTTTGAGTTGGCATTCTGAACAACTGAGGTAAGAATTGTATTTTGATTGGTCAATAAAGAATAAAATATTTGGTAAAGGAATCTAAAGAGCCTATGGAATTCGCAGAGAAGGAATATTCTCTTTAAACAGAAGACACAAATGAGAGAGTCCAAAGGAAGCTCCGCTGAGTATATGCCTTAATGTCAAAATGGATAGCGTCTGATCTGTCTCTTTCTTTCCTCAAACGGATCAATTTTCTAATTTTGCATATACGGGAACTCAATTATTTTATTTTTATTAATTTAATTTATTTTGTTTTATTCCAAAACTTTTAATAATAAGAAAAATTATCTCATCTCCAAGATCAAAACTAATGGCCAATCTGTTGGGCTAAAAGTCTCCAATCCAATCACACCAGCGGAAGTGAAATCAAACAATAGATCAAACACACAAGAGACAATAATTTAACGTGGTTCGGTCCAACTGACCTACATCCACGAATGAGAAAAAAGATCCACTAGTTGTAGAGAATTACAAACATACATCATATCATCAACCTCACTCAACAATCAATACTCATAAGACACTCACAATCTCCTCTAGTCCTATGGAGTATTCTCAACCCAAACAAACACAAACCCAAACCCTTGTGCACCCTTTCAACATAACCAAACACATACCCATATGCTCCCATACATCATACCTATGTGGACCCTCTCAATCTCCTCTAGTTCACTCACAAACAAACATACACACCCATAAGACGTAGAGCCCCAATACTCTTATGGGGTGTCTATCCCACAAAACCCTACAACTCTCTTACATTTTTTTCTCATACCTAACCGTGTAGAGACTTCACCTATTTATAACCAAACAAACTTGCCCATTAAGAATCTCTCTCTTCTTAGAATTCTTCTCCTGTAAGTTAAACTTGCCTATTACGAATCCCTTTCCTTTTAGAATTCTTCTATTGCAAGTCAAACTTACCTATTAAGAATCCTCTTTCTCTTGAAATTCTTCTTTTGCAAGTATTCTTGTCCATCAAGCAATATCTGACAAATCTCAAATAAATCTCTAACAAATCCCAAACAAATCTCTTATGGGATTTGAGTCATTATTCTCAACAATCTCCATCTTGACTCAAATTCCGTCAATCATCTATCTTCATGCTAGATATGCTTGGCTCCACCTACAATGAAAGTCTCACAATCATCTTCTCTTCTCTTGTGTCTTCACGCTTCATACAAACCAATCCTAAATCTTCAAAACTTAAACTCGAACTCTTCTCTTGAATCGAGCACTTCTGGACTTGCTTCTTTCATGTCTCAAATCATGCACTTTCCAAACCTTTAGCTATTCTCACATCTCGAACTTTCAGCTCTTTCACATCTCGAACCTTCGACTTTTTTCACATCTTGAATCGTCAACTCTTTTCACGTTCGAACCTTTAGCTCTGATACCATTTGTTGGGGATCACCACAGCTCTGATACCACTTGTTGGAGAATACCACAGCTCTGATACCATTTGTTGGGCTAAAAGCCTCCAATCCAATCACACCAGCGGAAGTAAAATCAAATAATAAATCAAACACACAAGAGACAATAATTTAACGTGGTTCGGTCCAACTGACCTACATCCACGGATGAGAAAAAAGATCCACTAGTTGTAGAGAATTACAAACATATATCATATCATCAACTTCACTCAAACAATCAATACAAACAATCAATACTCATAAGACACTCACAATCTCCTCTAGTCTTATGGAGTATTCTCAACCCAAACAAACACAAACCCAAACCCTTGTGCACCCTTTCAACATAACCAAACACATACTCATATGCTCCCATACATCATACCTATGTGGACCCTCTCAATCTCCTCTAGTCCACTCACAAACAAACATATACACCCATAAGACGTAGAGCCCTAATACTCTTATGGGGTGTCTATCCCACAAAACCCTACAACTCTCTTACATTTTTTTCTCATACCTAACCGTGTAGAGACTTCACCTATTTATAACCAAACAAACTTGCCCATTAAGAATCCCTCTCTTCTTATAATTCTTCTCCTATAAGTCAAACTTGTCTATTAAGAATTCCTTTTCTTTTAGAATTCTTCTATTGCAAGTCAAACTTACCTATTAAGAATTCTTTTTCTCTTGGAATTCTTCTTTTGCAAGTATTCTTGTCCATCAAGCAATATCTGACAAATCCCAAATAAATCTCTAACAAATCCCAAACAAATCTTTTATGGGATTTGAGTCATTATTTCTAACACAACCCATAAGATAATATACAAATCTTTTGAGATTTTACGAATTTATATATAAAAAAAATCATAAAAATTTAAACTTGAATGTTTTTTACTCATATTTTAAATTTTAATTACTTATGTCAATCTTATTTGTTAATTTAATTTAAATGATAACAGTAAAATATTTTTTATAAAATAATATTCGAATATTTAATTCTATAATTAATGTATATTCTTTCCTTAAGAGCATATATCAAAACTTTTTCTCAAATAAAAAATATGTAATTTAGGTTTCCTATTTGGATACGTCTACGTAGAATTCCCTAAAATTAAATTTCTTATGATTTGTCGAGCGGTCAAACGCGTGAACTTAACAATCTGCGTGGATCACAAACCTAAGGAAGCTTAAAAACTAAATGATTGCTTACTTTGGTAATGACATGTACATATAAGAAGAAAAATATTGATTAAATTTTTTTTCAAGATCAACATATTCCAAAAAGAGACTTTCTCATTGAATAATGAATTATTAATTTAATAATCTTAAAGTCAATTTTAAAATTATAGGTTTCGAACCTTAAATATTGTAATTCAAATTTAAAAAAAAAAAAAAGTTTTGTCATTGATACTTTTACGGCCATGGTTATTGATTTTTATAGGGTACATTTCTGGAATTTAGTCAGGAACATGTGATTAAAATGGCAGTGGCTGGTCCCATTTCAAACATAGAGGGTCAGGTCACACTTGCCATGGAAGGTGCCCTACTTCATCATCCTTGATGATTCTGACAGCTAAATGCAGTACCACAAATTGGCTTCTTTGTAAGTGATGATACTGGCTTTGATCTTTCCTTTTCCTGCTCGTCTTTTGAATTTCACCGGAATAAAATAAAGAAATGACCTTTTTTTTTCGAGATCAACATAATACGAAGAGGCTTTGTCATCGATATGATTATTAATTTTTATTGGGTACATTTTTGGCAATTTGTTGGGAACATGTGATGAAAATGGCGTACATGGCTAGCATCTGCTTGTCCCATTTCAACAAAAAGGGTCACACAATTGCCATGGATGGGTCCTGTACAGCTCATATAGTACCTCAAATTGGCTTCTTTAGTGACGATACTAGCTTTGGCTTTTCCTTTTCCTGCTCGTTTTTTTTACTATAATCTATTCTGCCTGTAGATTAGATATATCAATTTTAAATATGATACAATAATATAAATAAAAAATATAAAAATAATATATTTTAAAATAAAAATTATAAATAAATTTAATAAATAAATAAAAAAAATTTTATATTTTTATATAGACATAAATTATAATACATAATTTTTATATAAATATATAATATAAATATATAAATTTTTAATATTTTATAAATATTAATACATAAACTATCATATCTATATATAATAATTTAAGGGACAGAAACTGGAAATAACACACACATATATATAAATTTCTCATGGATTATTACATTACTTAAGTAATTATCGAGTTAGATTTCCATTTTACTTATTACTTGTTTGTTTATTTCTCAGCCTTCATTTACTGATATCAAATGTCAATTAGAGCAAAAAGAAGGCTATTTTAAAGTGTATAAATCAATGGTGATCATGATTACATTCCATGAATATACTTTCCTTTGCATGCTTTAATGCTTAAGATATGGTCGGTCGCAACCTAATAATTCATTGGTTCAGTTCAAATAGTATTTGTTTTTTGTTGTTTAGAACAATCTATTTTCAATCCTTTCTTATTAATGACCCAATCTTTAGAGGTTGAGCTTCTTGTTTGTCCAAAATAGTTATTCCCAAATTCCCAAATGGGCCAAACCAAATAGCTGAAAACCCTATTGCAATCCTAGTTTTATGTCCGTAAGATTAAGACCATTTGGATCTATTTCATGCTTGAATTTAACCAACATTAAGGCTTAAGCCTTAAGTCTTTAGAATTTAGCCCATTTTTTCTGGTCCAAAACTAAAGCCATAGCCTATAGGGAATAGGCTTTCCCGGACCCAAGAAGAAGAGCTGGAATGAAGCTTGAACTGGTCATTGCTTCACTGGGACAGGAAATATATGATGGAAAACAGGAAATGTCTAGCTGAATTGGTTCCGGTTTCACATCCGCTAAGGACCATAAAAAGAAGCATTTATGAATTAGTTTCATTCTTTGTCTCCTGGGACTATGAACTTATCGTTAATATCACATTCAAAGCCAAGTTTCGGTCCCAACAAATGAAGGCCAAAGCCACAAATTTTCTGCATGCATGGAGCTAATTTTCAACATTTTGATTTGAACTGATATTATTGCTTTGAAAATGTTGTTCGGGTGTTAATTCATGCTTATCTCACATAGAGAATTCAATACAGGGACTCAAAATTCTACAAAACTGTTTTTGGACCATAGAAGGAAGAAAATGACAATCAACCAGGCTCCTGCCCCACTTCTTAGATCGTAATCTTTTCTTTTTAGGTCATTTTGTTATATACATTAGCATTAGATTACGTAAGATAGCGACTCAACCCGGTTTGGCACTCCAATTTTATGAGTGAGATCCAAAGGCTAGCTTAGCTTAGCTTTAGCTCTATAATCTTACTATAGTGGTGTATTTGAATGAAGGCTAGCTTAGCTATATAATCAGGCAAGTAAGTCATCTGAGTGGCTGAGTCTCACTTTTGCTGCTTTCCCTTTAATTTTGCTCTGCATGCAAAAGCTTTTCTAACATGACTTCTTGATTACTTGACCAGGAATGCACTCCAATAGAGAAGCAAAACTGGGGCCTTGTCATAGCTCCCAGTCAAAAAAATCCCAGCAGGCAGCAAAATTCAACAGGAATTTTCTCCTGTCAAACAGGTGAAAAAAGGAAAAAGGGATGGTTGGTTTCCCTCATATTCACGCCAAAGCCCACAATCCCATATTCAAATAGATTCCCTCTTTCTCTCATTTCTTTTTCATATAGTAATGTATGTTTTCAAAAAATGGGCCAATCTCTTCAATTCTATTTCCAGAACAGAATCAAGATATGGCCAACAAAAGAAAAAAAAGTAGGCCCTAACAGCACCTCAAAAGCAACGCTGATAAGAAGAGTATCGAGTGCTTGTCTCCTTGTGTTCCCTTGCTAGTTACTGCTACTCTTTCTTTATTATTGACCAACCCTGCAATGCAAACCACTTTTCATTTTCACTCATTGCTTTCCTTTCCTAGGTTCAAATTCTTGCATCCACCTAACGTTCTTATTGTTATATTAAACCCCACATTTTATAAGTAGACCCACTTTTGCTTAAGTTGCTTGATCTCAGGTTCAATACTGTTTATATTTAGTAGTTTCTTTTTTTTTTTTTCAAAATATTTCTCTCTATGTATGTTTTTTAACATAAATATACATATATCAGAAGAAAAAAATAATGGTATTTGGAATAACAAAGGCTTTTAAACCAACATAAACAAGGGTAATTGATCAAGAATGCATTGATTCAGCTAATTTTAAAGTGAAATTTCACTCCAACTTTCTTGAATTCGGCCAAAAGAAGTTATGGGAAAGTCCATATGAATTCAATGAATTATGAACCAATCATGACAAACAATGACATCCTGTATTTGATGGGGAGTTTTGGCTTCCAATAATTAGTGAAGATAAACAGCAATTATATATACATTCAAATACGCCAGGTGCATGGCTCATGCACGTATATATTATATGTGAAATTTTGGAATGCTAAGTTGAAAAGGGGCGTTGGTTTAGCCAAAGGTTTAATAATTGGCCATGCAGTCAACATCTTTGAACAAGAATATGCTCACTCACAAATTAATTCTACTGCCAATTACTCGTATCAATGACATATCCCATCCTATCCCTTGTTTCAGTATCTTCTTTTTCCTTTTCAGTTTTCACTTTAGTCACAATAATTCATCAATAAATACCCCTAAAACCTTACCAACTGCCCTTCTTCCTTGTTCACACATCAGAACTTATCTTTTCCTATCTATTTTTCCATTTCTCAATCTCACCAGGAGGAACCAAAATTCCTTTCAAAGGAACTGATCTCTTCCCAAAGTCTAGAATGTCAAGAACAAGCAAGCGAGTGAGTTTCAGTCCTGATGTCAACGAAAGGCCAACGATCTTTCTGAAACATGGAGGCAGTGGCAGAACAAGAGGTAACAGAAGAAGGGTCGTTGTTGGGATTTTTTCGTTTAGGCTTATCGAAAGCTCAAGAATTTCACCAGCAAGATTGTTGAGGCGTATTGGAGCTAAATTTGCAACAGCGTTGCGTTTTGTATCCATTCGACAGAACTCTTCGCATAGGGTTTCTTCTTCCAATCTGCCAAGGTCACGATCTCTGGCTGAATCTATTGACTCTCATCGTGCTGAAGCTATAGAAGATTGCATCGAGTTCCTGAATTCTTCTTCATCTTTGTCAAGATCAAACTCGGTTTCTACATGTTCTTGCTAGAATTGGAATCCTGGGAAAGAAAATATGTAAATGAAAGGGAAAACAAAAGGTATTATATATAACTCATTGATCATTTAATTTCCACTATTACATGTAGAAAAATACATGCGGAAAGCAATTGAATCTTACATCCAGTTTCTGTTCATTACTTGATTCAGTTTAATCTCAATCATAGAGAATAATTGCATTATAATTTAACATCAAGAAAAAAGATCCAACACATGAACTTTATGCAATTTTATTATGCCATGCCCTGATTTCACCGGGCAATTAGGTAGTCATTAATGGAGAAACCCCATATGTATCACGGAAACGAACCATTCCATGCCTGGGCCACAGTAGAGGGTTGGGCCTGAACAAATTTTCAAAAGAAAAGTCGCTGTCGGGACCGCAGATGAAAGGCGAAAGCTCAACCAAATATCCCTCTCGGTTTCTCGTTTGTTTTGCTTCTTTGAATCTGAATGATAGGAGTGCGACTATAGTTTGCATCGTTCATACAAAGATTTATGTATCTAGTTCTTTGATAGTTCTAAATCGTTTCGGAGTGCTGAGTGAATTTTTGAGTAAAAAAATTCTAGCAGTTTCATAAAATAAAGAACTCTTATAATATACTATGGGCTTATATAAGTAAAAAAATTCTACTTTCTATAAGAAAAGGGAAGGGAGAAGACTACTGAACTCTTACAAAATTAAAAGTATTCATTGTTTGGAACAAGATGCCACAAAAGGATTATAAGATGATTGATAGTTTAAGGGACAGACAGACACTTACGAGATACTGTGCTCTACTTTCTTTTCCTAGAAAGAATAATGAGAAAAAACATAGTAGTATAAAACAAGAACAATACATCGGACCTGAATCAATAAACATAACAACATAAAAGTAATATATCATAATAAATCTAAAATAATAGACAATAATCAACAATCAACAACGCAGAAAAAATAAAGCATACAAGATTTACGTGAAAAATCCTGAGAGAAAAATCACGGACCACAAAAAAAAAAACTCAACTATCAAATAATGGATATACAAAATTTTTTTCAAGCTAAAACTAGAGCTAATTAACAACTAAAGAGATAATTGGAGAAATCTCACCAAATAGGTAACTTAACAAATACATCATGAATTTATTTCTAAAGAGCTTCAAACCCGATCTTCATCGTTCAAAATGTGAAACTCTGAATTATAAACCTACCGACAAAATTTCAGCTCAATCGGATCATGAATCGACTTTCGTTCAACCAACTCTCTTTTTTCCCTTTTCTCTCTATTTTCCTAGCTACTTTTTTCCCCTTCTTTTGGTTTGTGGTGTCACCTTTTTTTATTAAATAGCTAGGGTTCTATGTAAAAAAAAAGACCAAGGTTCATGGCTTTTGATTGGTCCAAACCCAACTACATAGAGTTAGACCTCACTTTCCTAACAATCTTCCCCTCCAGCCCCATTAGAAGGAGATTCATCACCATTGCAATTTCATTTAGAATTTGCCTTGGCCAAGGAACCTATTCCGATCAAGTTATTGTAGAACTCAAGCTTCTCCCTTGAAAGTATCTTAGTCAACATATTTGCTATATTCTTCTCAATATAAAATTTTTTCAATAGCACCTATTATTCTTCAATCACCGAACGTAACCAATGATATTTAACATCAATATGCTTCGTTTTAGTATAGTACATGATATTTTTACTCAAATCTAAAGTACTTTGGCTATCACAAAGTATCACATACTATTTTTGATTCAACCCTAATTCAACAAGAAAATATTTCATCCTAAGTATTTTTTTACCTACTTCGATTACTGCAATATACTTTGTTTCTGTAGATAAAGCAACACACTTTTATAACTTAGACTACCAAGATATATCTTCTCTTGCAAAAGTGAACAAATATAGTAGATTTTTTACCATCAAGATCACCCGCTATGTCAGCATTAATAAATCTTTTTAGAACTAGTTATGAAACTTTATAACTCAAGCATATTTTTGAAGTGCCCCTCAAATATCTGAAAAGCTATTTCACTGCTTTCTAATGAACTTTTCCCGGATTATAAAGAAATTTGTTCATTATACCAACTGCATGAATAATGTTAAGCCATGTACAAATCATAAGATACAACAAAGAAACGACTGTAGAAGAATAAAGAATACCAGACATAGCTACTTATTCTTCCTTAGTTATCAGACAAGATTTCTTACTCAGATAAAAATAGTTAGCAAGTATACTGCTAACTAATTTAGCATATTACGTGTTGAATCTATTAAGCACCCGTTCAACATATTTTTTCTGTGACAACCATAGCTTTCAGCTCTTATATCTTAGATAATGTTCATACCGAGAATTTACTTTACTGGATCTAAATCTTTCATGTCAAAGGATTTAAATGATTATTCTTTTAACCTACGAATCATACCAACATCTTGTCCCATAATCAACCCATCATCAACATATAATAAAAGAATAATGAAATTACCATCACGAAATTTTTTGACATATACACAAAGATCCGTTGTCATTTTGTTTTAGATATGGCTCACCATAAAAGAATTAAACTTTTTGTACTACTATTATGAAGCTTGTTTCAAGCCATACAAGTTTTTCTTCAATTTACAAACTAAGTGCTCTTTCTCTTTCACATCAAAAGCTCAGGCTTATTCATATAAATGTCTTCTTGTAAGTTACCATATAAGAATACAGTGTTAAGATCAAGTTGCTCAAGCTTAATATTCAAACTAGCTGCTAATCTCAATACAACTCAAATGAAACTCATTTTCACAACTGGAAAAATTTTTTTTATCAAAATCGATGCTTGATTTCTAAGAAAAATCTTTCACCATCAATGGAGCTTTATACTTCATTAGCTTGTCACCATTTTTTTTCAATTTGAACACCCATTTATTTTTTAACGACCTTTTCCATTTTGAAAGTTTAAAAAGATCATATGTATCATTTTTTCGTAATGATTCCATCTTTTCTTTCATTATTTTTAACCAGTGCTTTTTATCCAAAATTGCATGCACATCTTGAAAGCTCTCTAACTCTTTCTCACTGGTAACTAAAATAAAATTTGAATTGAGATACCTAGTAAATGACCCGTGCTCTTTAGTAGATCTCTTAAGCTGAGACTCTACACCACTTGATGCTGAAAGTAACTCCCCCTGCTCAATACTCTTTGGTGGAAATAATTGCTCTCCTTGCTAAAAACTAATTGCATATGGCTCATCATTAATTGTGGCTGGCTCATTCATATCCTCAAGTTCTATCTTTTGCTCATTTTCACCATCTGTGGCTCTTCCTTGTGAAATTTCTATCAGTGTTGAAACATTATACTTAACAGTAACTCGTGCAGTCTTTTTATTTTTCTTAAGGTTTGCTATGATTTTTTTTTTATGGAAGACCATATCTTTGCTTCTAACTATCTTTTTCTTTATTGGATCATATACCTTGTAGCAAAATTTTTCATTACCATATCCTACAAACACACATTATGTGACTTTACTATCAAGCTTTGATTTTTGCTCTTTTGACACATGCATGAATGTTTTATACTTAAAATTTTTTAAGTGAGAATATAAAGTATCTTTTCCTATCTATACTTTTTTTAAAATGTTAAAGCCTAAAGGAACTAATGGTGATCTATTAAGCAAATAACAACCTGTGTTGACTGCTTTACCCTATAATGACTTTGGTAATTTTATCATCCTCAATATACATCTGACTTTTTTCACAATGGTGCAGTTTATCCTTTTAGCTACATTATTATGTTATAGTGTTTCAGATTCTGTCATCTCATGCTTGATTTAATACTTTGAACAGTACTATTCAAAGTCTTTGAATGTGTATTCTCTACCATTATCAGTCTGAATACACTTCAAAGGCATCATTGTCATTTTTTCTACCATCGCATAAAACTTATGAAAATACTGTAATACCTGACTTTTATTTTTTAACATATACACTCAAGTCTTACATAAAGCATCATTAATAAAAGTAATAAAATACTTGCTACCACCTAATGACTCGCCTCAATGAAATCACATACGTTAGAATAAATCAATTCTAATCTATTTTTTTTTCTTTGAGAACTCTTACGAAAAAAAACCCTATGATACTTATCAAATAAACAATGATCATATGAATCAAGAGTATACTTTTAATTAATGGAATGAGAGACTACTTTGTCAAAACTTGTAACCCTTTATCACTCATGTGTGCTAGTTTTTTATGCTATAAGTTTGTTGAAGCATCATCTCAACGACATTTAATTGGTTGCTGTTCAGTTACATCCATATCTTATACATTGTACAACATAGTTTTTCTCTTGCAACTACCATAGATTTTTTTTAGAAGCTTTTATTGTTCATTCTTTTATCGACTCTCATATCCTTCCTTATCAAGGACATTAATAGCAAGTAAGTTCATTCTCATATCTGAAATGTATCTAACATCCCTCAAAGTCAACATGCAGACCTATACTAGTTTGTACAATAATATCACTAATCCAAACAATATATGACACACTCTTATTTTTCATCTTGGTGTAATCAAAATCTCTTACTTTGTAAATTGTAAATAACTCTCTTTTAAGAATACAATGATATGCCATTCATATGTTGACTATCTACTCAATACTAGAATCACTAACATTATTACAATTATCATGTGTATAAATTAAAGTAACTGAATCACTATTTGAATTCATTACTGCAAAATTATCATCATCCGAACCATCATCCGAACTCACTCTTGCTTCAAGATTTTATAGTATCATTTTATATGACCCATTTTACTATAATAGAAGCACTTCACTTTATCTCTGAACTTGGATCTATATTTAGACTTACTATGACCTTTTGAGTTTTAACCTATATCGATGTTTCTACCTTTATTCTCTGTGATCGAAGTTTGATTCTCAAGGTCTGAATCTTTTCGCCTTACTTTTTCATTAAGCATACTGTCTTTTACTATCTCCAATATCATTTTATAGTCAAGAGCTGAATTAAAATAGTCATAACTAAAGTATTTCAGTTGTCTAGCAATGAACTTAAAAAAAATAATGACTCCATTTCATCATCCATCTTAAGCTCTATAGTAGTCATCTGATGAAAATCAC